CAAACTTTAAACAGTTTTCATTATTGGCTGAATACCAACTGTATATTTACGGTCTACACAAAGGTCTCGGAGATGTCAATTTCAAAACAAAAAGTCAATTTCGTTTAAACTATGTACTTAAAGCACGGTTTTTACCCTGGGTGACACATTGGACGAGACGAGGCAGCTCGTCGTGAAGAGAAGCGTGGCGTCATAGAATTTCACGTCGTTGGGAACTGGCTGCGAGGACAGCTCTCTCAAAAGAATATTATGTGGTTGATTGGCTTGACAAAAAGTATTTTCATATCAACTAACGCGAATGCCGAAAGAATATATGACGAGATTGGTTTTGATCAGTAAGTGAACCAGTAAATTTTAGCTGCAAACTATTGGCACGGTCAAAATGGATGCGCTGTGCTTTAAATTGCTGTGCATCAAATTGGACGCAGGCACCAATTTTAGCTGTCCCGTGCTAATAAATTGACTACATCATTCTATAAAGAGCTTCTTGCTAATTTAGATGTTTTGGTTGTTGAATGTATGCAAATATCATCGTAGATAAATTGTACTGATAATTTGCTCACTTTAACTTAATCTAATGATCTGCCATCTGAGCCACTTTGTTTAGCAACAAGAGAACGAGACACATTTTTACGGCACCCATGTATAAAAACTATCGCACAAGGTAAATTTCATTCAGTCTCGAACAACGGGTTTTCACTTGTGTTAAACATTACAGACATTAAAATAATCTCCGGTTTTCTTAAACACCGTTTAAAAAATTGAAATCTGGATTATAATCACGCATTCATAAATGGAAAAAATTGCGATTAGCTAGTATTTTTGTCCAATTGGCTTCTAATATCCGCTTGCATTAAAATATGTTTGCTAATTTGCATGCTAGCCCGGACAAATAATTATGATCTTATTAACTCTCCTTCTTTCGGCGTTCTGTGAATATAAATTGTTTTTAAATGCAAGCGTAAATTGAATATACTAACCAAAGCCAAAGCGTAAATTGAATATGTTAACACATTGAATTTTTTTAACATACACTCGATCTTTTTAATTTTAAAATGTCGTGCCAGTGGTAGGCATGATATCTCTTGAAGAAGGATTCGATTGGATTTTATAACTTATTGTATTACTTATATATAATAAATGTAATATTACACTAACTCCGGTAAACTCGAACCCCCGCGGTAACTCGAACAATTTTCCTTTGCCCTTGGGGGTTCGAGTTAGCGAAGAAATTCTGTATTTTAAAAGCTCACTCAAATTTTATGAGTGGGAGTCATAACATTTCCATGGCGGTATTTCCACTGGAATAAGAGCTTAATTTTCAGTGTTTTTCGTTAAATCTTTGTATCAACTAAGAAATAACTTTCTCTTTGATCGGTGATGACAAAATTTGTATGTCACACTCAATGAGTGAGTGTAACACGGCCTACAGGCGATAGTGTGGATACGGAAGAATTACTGATAATCGTTTGACATTTATCTGTTTTGAGAGCGTAATGTCCAAAATTTTTGTATTCGGTGTAATTAGACAGAAATTCTAGTTTCTACAGGGATCGTTTATGAAAAGTATGGGTTATGGTTGTCGCAGATAAACTACCTGAGGTAGAAATTTTAGCAACATCTAGTCAAGAATTGTGTGACAGGCAGGAGATGATTGCATTTTCTCATTGCTTTTCTGCAGTTGTCAGCATTAAAATTGGATCTTGCCAGTCACGCAAAACCTTTGAATACGTACAATCCAGAAAGTCAGTTTATACAAGACCTTCGAGAGAAAAATGAGTGTACTTTCTGACGGTTTTGAAATACTATCTTTATTTGTGTTTAGAATCTTAATAATCACGACTGCCGTAGAACATTCTAAATCTACTGAATTAATTGAAACGTATAGATCGTGCATGATGTAACCCAACCACTGTCAGTTGTTAGACCATATATAGAATGCATATCTCTTGCTGTCCTGGTCCACCTAAAATAACGTGATATAGCTATGACGCCTGTCTATGGAGATTTATTTCATTCCAAACCGTTCACAATTGGTAAATTACGACCTTTTCCAAAACAGTAAATTGATTGCGGCTTGAAAACCTAAAATTTCTCATCAACACATAACAAACTTTAAATTCACTTCATAAAATTTGAATGATTTAGTCAGGATTTGAATTTTAAACGTTTTCCTCTTTTTTTCAGAAATCTTTGGTATGAAGGGAGTTGTATCGTCAGCTGAAGGATTACACACCAAACTACGTCAAGCTGCTCAACGGATTAATGGATTAACAAAAGAACGCAAACAGTTGATTAAAATGGGAAATAAGCTGAGAGCTGAATTGTTGAAATATAAAGGTATTTGAAGGAATTTTTGGTATATCTATTAAAATGGCATTAATATATAGACGTTAGTCGAAATAAATTACTGTAAGAATGAATTGAATACATTTTTCGTATAGTCATGACGCGTAGCTTCTGTTGTTCGCAAAAGACTAACTGCATGCATGTGCAAAGAGAACCCGCGATGATTACGTCACTACCACATGTAGGGTAGTGACACGTGACCGGGCCCCAGAACACTGCGGCAAAACGTCTGGGCACACGCCGGTCGGTTATAAGCATATTGGGAAATTTTCAATTGGAATTGTTGAAACAAAACATGCATGTTCATTGATAAAATATAAGTTAAACTTGTACTTCAAAATGTACCAAAACAAGTGGACTAAACATTCGTTTAATGTGTCCTGGCATTTAAATATGAAATAAAATTGTAATGCAGATTAAAAATACAAAACAATCGCACCGTAACCATTTTCTTCACCTGGGCGGCATATACTAGGCGTATGGCAAATTTCACGTTGATATTACAATGTAAAAGCTAGGAATAAGATTCAGTTTTGTGCGTTTTAGACAAGAAACAAAATTATCATCATCAAAGTATTTATACCAATTCATTTATTCAACGCGGGACATAAGAAGCAAGTGATTTCGAAATTATCAGTAACGACGAAGAATTTTTGATACTACGCACGTGCCCCCCCCAAAAGAAAAGAATCCTAGGGCCCAAAAGTGCCGGGGTTTTGGTGAAAAATGCCTTTTTGGAAATGGTAATTCTGTAAATACAACTTTAAAATCGAAGGTGGCCTTTTTTGTTTCCAATGTACGCCCAGGGCCTACAGGTACGCCCACTTACCCGTTCCTAATCTTTGTGTAGACCATGATGAATATAAACCACACTACAGTCACTACTTACTAGTCGTGTCTTTGGTGCTTTGGCAATAAAACCGTCCCTATACATATTTTTAATTGCCCTTTCTATTAGTTAGAGCCCGCCCCCAATCTCGGTATTCTCCCTACGCCATTGAGAATGGAAATTTCGGTTATTTACGGAAGAAAGATCGCTTTGAAACACTATAAATATGCCAAAAGCTTTGAAATAAAAGTCAAACGGTAAAATACGCGCAAGACTTAATTCTTCCACGCGGCGAATCCGGCTTGATTTTGTTAAATCAATTTGGACATATTTTTGACCGTTTATTAGCTTTTTATTCAATTTTCTGTTTCTTTGTGCGTGAGGACAGTTTTCGGACATACGACACATACGGTGCGTTTTAATATGTGCACCCAGGTATATGTGAATGTACGCTTTCTGAGCATACTCGATCGAAGCTAAACGACACTGCATGCATACATATTCTGTGACTTGATCAAAATTATATTCGAATGTACGCAAGCAAAACGACACACTGACACAGCTCGCTTTTTTTGTTTACTCGATCCGTGTTGTGAACGCCTTTTAAGGCGTATTAAAGGTTACGTCTGCGGAACGAAAGAAGTATCTAAGCGATAAGCATTTGTGTTTTAACCGTGCCGATCATTGTGCTTCTGATTGCCGAAGCCGATTTTTTTGTACCAAATGTAAGCGTAGACATCATACCTTGATTTGTGACCTCCCGGGTGATACGAAGCCTCCTGCTGCGCCCTTTAATGACATGCTACTTAGTCTTATAGTTCTGTCGTTTATCCTGTCGTAGTTGTTAATATAAATAGTGTTAAATGTCGCGCCGTAATCGACACGGGGGCGGGAAGTTTCTACGCCTCGTCTGCATTGCTCCACAAAATAAAAGCGAAACCCAAAAAACGAGAAATCGTCATATAGAAATGATTATTATTGAAAAAATTTCCAGGTAGTTTAGAGCAACTTTTGTGAAGGCTGAGCAACTAGCATCAATGTTCACGTTTTGACAATGGAATAGCAATGCGACACCCCTTAATTGTTCGTGAAATCATTTTTCCAAAACGGTGAAATCTAGACACAAATTGGTACGTGATAGGGGGGGGGGGGGTTGCTCTCGTTGAAAGAAGAATTTACGCCGATCCGACATCTTTTGTCCAAAACGGAAGTACTAATTTCACAAACCTGTCTGGGGTGTTTTTTTGGCGAACATACATTAAAATGATGGAATGGTATGGATGAAAAAAAAGTCAGTCACCCTCTACGGCATTGCATACCCAGGTAATCTGAGTGAAAAAATCAACGAATAAGAAGCCATATCCTTTGCTTCACTGAAGACTGGCTTATCATATCCTTCATATCATATAACTGCGGCATTTGAAAAATTTTAGTTAGTTCATTATTTCAATGTAAAAATGCATTTGTTTTTTCGTCAAAATCAATTAGAATTTTTATTTTTGCCCGTTTTACATTAAAAAATGTTGAGTTTAGAACTACTCAGTTTGTGCAGGCGCCTTTTGACGTATTTGAAGCCATGACTAACCAGCTGATCTGAGATCATGACATCATAAAGCGTCTTATAAATTTCACATATATTGCAACTCAACAAACTATAAAACTTTCATCAGAAGTGAATTCAATCCGACAAAATTGGATCGTATGAACAGGTTGACTTCCAGGATTGGATTTTAAAATTTGATCAAAGCGTATGTACGCCTATGTATCTATTCTTACGTAATCTCCGACCACGCGGGACCAGCGTAGTTTTGCGTGACACACGTGGGGCGATCAATGCACAAAACAGCTTTACCAAATCAAAGAAAAATATTATATAGAAACTAGAAATTTTTCTTCAATGAATGTATTTTAGCACAATATGAAGCTTAAATAGGCGGGCTAATCGCTGTATATACTATACTAGATGTACTGTCCGCCGCAAAACAATCGCAAACTGTCGAAATATATCAGCAAACTGTGCTGAAGTTGGCATGACCTTCGTGCACTCAATGTGTTATTAATATGCTGCAAATACCAATGTCTGCAAACGATTCAGACTCCGTGGTTTTACAGAAGGAAAAAGAATGGCGTGAAGCTTCTCAACTCAGAGTTCAGGCACTGGAAGAAACTATAGCTGAAAAAGATAGGGAGTTCAGACACTAGGAAAAGTTGAGATTTCGTAAGTTGAAGGATGATTTTGAGTATAACTTCAAACCTATATTAGAACGAGATCAAGAGTTAGAGAAATATGATACGGTGATTGGTAAAGTTAAGGAAGAGGAGCACGTTAAGACTGCTCAAGTTAGTGAATTGTGTGTGAAGATTGATGAATTCAACATCAAATTACAAAATGAACAGAAGTCCAAAGAGGAGCTACAGAAACACTACCAAAAGGTAAATTTTTTAATTTTTTTATTTTGATGAATCGATTCTGCATACAAAAATATTTAAATGAAAACAGGATAAAATTAATTGAGCTAGGAGTCTGTTAAAACCTTTAACAGGCTTTTTAATTTAAACCCCTAGTTGCAATGGCTTGGTGCAATATAGTTGAACATAGTGACATTGGTGTCTAATATTAAATTGTGAAGATGAAATTAATTACATTTGATAAAAGATAAATATATAAAAGCTAACTGTCTTATATTTACATGAAGAGAAGTTACAATTGTGTAATATACACTTAATGTATGCTCCCGAGGGAAATGGTGAATTTTGTTTTTCCAAGAGTCTGACTGAAGGGAAAACATAACTCACTATTTCCAAAGGTAGTGTACATTAAGTGTTTTGTTGTATAGGAACGAAAACATAAATGTTACACAACAATTTTATTTAAAAAAGAAACCCACTTTACTTTGTTATGACAAGAAGCAGGCAACAATTTTTCACTAATTGGGGCACTCCTTTCGTTGCCTTATGTAGTTAGTCCTCCGATAAGGTTTATGAAGTTTTGTTGAATTTCAATCGTTACATATAGTTGTGCTGTATACGTGTACATATGTGCAAGAATAAATTTATCCTGTGATATAGCTAGCAACGAAAAGCAACCCTGTAATTGACTGAGAACAAACTGGGCAGCCATTAAGCATAATTAGAACTGTTCCAGAATAGCTGCAGCTGAGCTGCAAGCTTTCTCTTCTGCTTGTCTTTCTTCACTAGCTATATGTTTAATTCTGATATGTTCAACAAATGATATGGTTAATTATGTCTAGAGATTGCAAGAATATCAGAATCAATTTAAAGCTTTTCAAGAAGAGAAAGATAATGTAGTTGCTAAAGAACGGGAGGAGCTTTCGTCTTATCGGAAAAATCTGGAGCTACAATTAAGGTAATCTAGTTCACCTCATGCAATCATTGTTTGTAACTGGAATACCATCAGAGCTCTTAAAGACATTTAAATTTTAGGTGATCATAATTAATGAACTCTAAAGGTAGGGTACACTGATGCTAATTAATGTAAACCATGTTTAAACAAACACCTTGTTTACATTTTCACTCACTACATTTCTAAAAATATCAAGAGCAGTCAGAATAGTTGACACTATTTTGGTTTGCTATAGTTCTAAATGAGAGCTGGAGTTTATGTTCCGAAAAGTAAAAAAGTGCTAAATTTCAGAAATTTTAAATCAAGTAGTCTACCCATATTGTTACAAGCAGAACTGATGTGAAGTCAGAGATCAGTATTACATGCAATGTATGCCAATGTGCAATTATGAACTTTGAGAACTTACTGAGGCTATAATTAACAATGAGTTACAGTGATTATGTTAATAAAGCATTTTTTAAAATATTGGTTAAAAATCAACATTTTGATTTTTTAGAGCAACAGAAAATGATTTGAGTTTCGTCATCCAGAAAATGTCAGTAATTTTGATGAAGCAATAAGAAAAAGAGAACAAGAATATCGATCAAAACTGGATGAAACAAGAAGTCTCTTATTGTCAAATGACCTTAAGGTAATAATTTATACTCATTACAACCATTACAGGCCTATCTGCATGCTTTCCATTTGCCAATATATACCTCAAATACAATATTACCACCATTTTATTACTGAAGCTCCCTTCTCCTTGGACCTTTTTTTCATCTCTCTCCAAAAAACCTCCTGTGCACTTTAAACACTACATGTTGTGGCTTTAAACTATTTCACCACATAGACCAGTTGTTTAAGGCCATTTTGTGATGACTAATACTAAGAATATTACATGTTGTGCATTGTAAACATACAAGGTGTGTGTGTAACTGTTTTCCTCAGTTAAACTATCTTGCTACCAACAAGGTTTCGCTTTTTCCCTAACTTCTTGACGAATTTAGGAATTCGCTCTCTGAGCTAAATTTTACCTATGTAGTCTAGATGCTTAAACGAGTGCATTTGGTCAAACGAGACTACCGAGCCAAACGTATAAATTGCCCGTCATAAATTAGGCTTTTGGTTTAAAGTACATATCTAGAAAGTGCTTTGTGGGATGGTTTGTCGATCATTGTCACTTGTCTTTAATAATTGACAGGTTTTTTTAGATCTGAAGTTTAACAAAAGAACTGGAGTTAATGCGATGTGATAGTCGTCGATGTAAAGAGGAACTCGACAAGAGAGAACTGAGAACTCGGGAGCTGAAGAAGATGCTTGAAGAAAAAGATTGTATGCTTTCTGATTTGGAAAACACTCATAAGTATAAGTAAGGTCACAGATCTCGAAGCACAACTGGAAAATATGAGGAGAATGGGAGACAACTTACAGGAGGATTTTAAAAGGAAACATGCCGAATTGGATCGCTTTGCTCGGGAAAAAGAAGAAATGTTGGCCAACGCTAAACGAGTAAGTCGCTATTGCAAATGTAGTCTAAGGCTTAATAACCGAGCTAAAAACCTTACGAAACTGGTAACACAGTAAGTTTTTTCTCTGGTGATATAGTTTTCTTGTAATTTGCCTTGTTTCCATGAACTGGGCAAAACTGGTAACACAGTAAGTTTTTCTCTGGTGATATAGTTTTCTTGAGTAATTTGCCTTGTTTCCTTGACATTTATACTATATATATATATATATATATATATATATATATATATATATATATATATATATATATATATATATATATATATATATATACACAGAGTGTATCAAAAAAATGTCCCAAATGTAAAATTTCCGTTTTTCAGAATATTTGCAGAATTTGGCAAATTTTTGTGTTCCTAGAGATAGTTAAGACTTATCTGGTATACCTAGGCCAAGTTTGGTTTTTCATTAACAAAGTTATGTTACCGGGGGGTGTTCCTTTCCACTGATATTGAGAGGGCTTGCGCGCGAAAATATGAAGCTGAAATTGAGATATTATTTACCTGTTAAAAGTAGGAAAGCTTTTTAATAAATTGTCAAGTTTCAGGAAAAATAATGCAAACTGGGAGCAACGCGTGACCCCTAAAAGTGACAAATATTTTATTGCAAGCAGTGGATTAAATGCATGGTTGATTTTAGCGTGACCGATCTCATACAAGGTGGGCAAATGAATAAATTAAAGCGAGAAACGAAACAAGAAGACGAAGCGATTTAATAACAAGATTTTTATTCGTGATGTTAATCCTCAACATTTCCACCATTTCTTTCTAAGCAAACTGCGGCTCGTGTGAGCATGGTAAACACTGAACGGCGAACCATTTGTCTGTCTTGCCTCAAATTATCCATTTCGTTCGAAATTCTTTCTTGCAAATCGCCTACACTACCACCGGCAAATCTAGGCGAATGGACAGACAAACGGTCCACTGTTCAGTGTTTAGCATGCTCAGACAAGCGTAGAATGAAATGGTGGACATGCTGAGGGTTAACATCACGAATAAATCGCTTTGTTTTTGTGTTCAGTTTCTCGCTTTAATTTATTCATTTGCCCAGCCTTACATGAGATCGGTCACGCTAAAATCAACGATGCATTTAATCCACTGCGCGCAATGAAATATTTGTCACCTTTAGGGGTCGCGCGTTGCTACCAGTATGTATTATTTTTCCTGAAACTTTATTAAAAAGCTTTCCTACTCTTATACAGCTAAATAATATCTCAATTTCAGCTTCACATTTTCACGCGCAAGCCCTCTCAATATCAGTGGAAAGGAACCCCCCCCCGGTAACATAATTTTGTTAATGAAAAACCAAACTTTGCCTAGATATACCAGATAAGTCTTAACTATCTCTAGGAACACAAAAATTTGCCAAATTCTGCAAAATATCTGAAAAACGGAAATTTTACATTTGACATTTTTTGATACACCCTGTATATACAGCCTGAAAACTTAATAGAACTGGGCACTGGTAACAATTTTATCTGTGCCGTGCCGATAAATTTAGTCTATAGTGTAAATGGCGCTGGTATTCGAGTGCTACATTCCTGCATGGATTTTAGAAAGCTGTGTCGATTATTGATGATCAACGCTCTTTCTCTTTCCAGGTTCGTCAGAAGCAACTAAACATTGATCAACTTCACTATCAGTTGACAACAGAGAATCGTCGGGCCAGCGAAGAAATGAATGTTTTGAAGCAGCAGAACTCTGATCTCAAGCTGCCGGTAACCCAAGCAAGACAACAGGCTGACCAATTTTACAAAACGGGTTTGGAGAGAAATATTGATGCCGTATCATTATAATAAACCAGGTAAGTTCGATGATATTTTAAATAACTAGATCGCAGATGCAAAATGGAAATAATAAAGACATTAGGTAATAACATTAAAACAAATTAAACGTGTAAATGTATCACAGTCTGAAGCTTAACGGTGAACTCACTTTCAATTGTACTCTACCGTGTTGCTGGTTAATGCAAGATCGAACGAAATTTATATGTACTTTTAAAACCGCAAGCAGTTAAGAGAGGATTTGATTAGGTATCAGCCGGATGTCAGTAACATCCTGGGAGATTCACTGAGTAACAAAGCGAGCAGCTATAATGCTAAACCTAAGATATCAGTTGTGACAGCCTTATGCCTGTATTCTAAAAGCTCACTCGAACGGCCTTTAGTGGAGATCTCAATCTAAGTCATAACATTCCCAAGGCGGTATTTCCACTCGAATAAGAGCTTTATTTTCAGTGTTTTACCTTAGATCTTTTTATCGATTAAGAAATTACTGTCTCTTTGATCAGTGATAAAAAATTTGGTTGTCGCACTCGATGAGTGAGGGTGTAACACGGCCTACAGGCGAAGAATTACTGCATGATAATTGTTTGATATTTATCTGTTTTGAGAGCGTAATGTCCGAAATTTTTGTATTCGGTGTAATTAGACCGAAAGTCGAGTTCGTGCAGAGATTGTTTATGAAATATTGGTTAATGTTTGTCGCAGATAAACTACCGCAGGTATAGAAGTATTAGCAACATCTAGTCAAGAATTGTGTGACAGACAGGAGATGATTGCTTTTTCTTATTGGAGTTGCTTTTCTGCAGTTGTCAGCATGCATTAAAATTGGATCTTGCCAGTCACGGAAAACCTTTGAATATACGTACAATCCAGAAAGTCAGTTTATACAAGACCTTCGAGAGAAAGGTGAGTGTACTTTCTGACGCTTTTGAAATATTATCTTTATTCGTGTTTAGAATCTTAAGAACGTAGAACCTTCTAAATCTACTGAATTGAAATGTATATATAAATTGTGATGGAACCCAACCACTGTCGGTTGTTAGACCATATATAGAATGCCTATCCCTTGCTGTCTTGATCCACCTGAAATGGCGATATAGCTATGACGCTATAGTATAGCTATGACGCTATAGTATAGCTATGACGCTATGGTAGCTACGACGTTAAAAAGTCTACGTAGATATATTTCATTCCAACTCGTTCACAATTGTTAAATTATGATCTTTTCCAAAACTGAAAATTGATTGCGGCGGGAAAACCTAAAATTTCTCATCAACACATAAGAGACCCTAAATTCATTTCATAAAATTCTGAACTACTTAGCCAAGATTTGAATTTTAAAAGTTTTCCTTTTTTTTAAGAAGTCAAGCTGCTCAACGGATTAATGGATTAACAAAAGAACGCGAACAGTTGATTAAAATTGGAAATAAGCTGACAGCTGAATTGTTGAAATATAAAGGTATTTTAAAGGATGTTTTGGTATCTACTGACTACTGTATTAAGATGGCATTATATAAAACACGTATTCCCTATAACCCCACAAGTGAACACATGGCTCATTAAGAGTAAAAGTACATATATGAATTGTACAAAATTACAAGTACAAGTATATATATATAAGTCTCAACAGGTCTAACAACAGTCTCGTTCCTCGAGCACTATATCCATATTGCTGAACTATTTGCTTGCCTTACAGTAACACGAATTAAAGGACATTGAATAAGAGACACACTCTGTTGTGACTTTTAAATACAAGGAAATAAAATGGTGTCATATACTTACAATGTCTGGTTCGTCAACAAAAACTAGCTGGTTCGGATGCAAGCAATCTATGACAATATATTCCTCGTGTTGGGATAATATTACACTGCACGTTGGACTACCGAAACGGCAAGGCTTCACATTATCCCTGTTTAAAAACGTCTGAAACGTTTTCATAACGTCTGAAACGTTTTCACTCTCCATACTTTCCAAATTTAATTTGGTGCGAAAAATTAGATAACATACATGGCTGCTGCTCCCGGATTGACTGATAGTTCTGGTGTTACGAAGAACTTCACTGCTCCCGGATTGGCTGATAGTTCTGGTGTTACGAAGAACTTCACTTCAAAGTTGGTTATAAATTGCACACCTCAGGTATCAAAGCAGAAATTGTTGACTTCCCAACACGAAACTGATACTAAAGAAAATTTAAAAACACATATCTTTTAACTTGGCTTGGCTTATACCTCAAATGTATTTGTGTCCATCCTCAAATACCCTCGTTAGCTTTCTTCGTCTTCGAGCCTCATTTCTTGGACGAGGGCGTGATAAGCGCCTCTTTCGTTTCTTCTGGCAATCCAACTCTTTTGCCACATATTACGTTTCCTGTCTTTGCGTGCCTTTCTTCTTTTCACCACAACGTAACGGCAACCAAGATAGCAGCAGCAGCAAATTTCTTAGCTTCCTCGTCAGCCATTTAAACCCATTGATTTAAATCTCATTTTGGGAATTTGTTTATGGTTGAAACACCATTACGTTTCTTTACGCATGCCACCTACCTCCCCCCTAAGCCCGTCAAAAAAAATATCGGGTTGTCTGAACAGTCCACCAAAAATCGGGCCGTACGTAGTTTTGATTTACATACAACTTTCAATTAATACAAAGAAATTTACCATACAAATTAGTGAAATTACTAGAAATACATTGCATGCAAAGTCCCCTCGCCTGAAGCAATAAACGTATATTTCCATCACTGAAATTCTGTAATACTCGTTTTCTGCTGAATGATCGAAGCCGTATAAGTATAGTCCTATATCCTTGTAACATTATAAGTCGACTCTCGAGCTATCATGCACATTCAACTATAAGTAATTTCATTAATTGCGCTACGAATAGTTTTAAATACTACAATTTTTAGCGAAATTTCGTTTCCTTTTTAAACAGATTGACCTTTAAAGATGAATGCTTTCCCAATCAAAATCTTTTTAACGAAATTGACGAATAAATTCAAGGTGGTGTGTCGTACGTTTGTTGATAAATCTACACGTTAAACTTACGAAATACTTGCATGCTTTATAATACAAAATCTACTTGTTTACCTGCTCAAAAACGCTCCAAAAATGCTTTAAAATCGTAGATTTTTCACCACCTATTTCAATCAAAGTTTTTCTACCCGAAAGCATAATCTACTTTACATTTTAATCATTTTTACGAGTGAATTTTTCCGTATATTTTCAAAACAATCCAAATGAAAAATTTTAAAAAAAGTTTTATAATTCAAAATATCAGTTATGCTGTCGCGAGCCAAAATTTTAATTTAGCCAATCGCACGCTTGCAAACGTTTGCTGGTTACCAGTTTTAACTCGTCTTAAACTCACGCATGCGCATAACTTACTAAAACGCCCAACGTCCATGACATAATGGCGGACAACTTTCATTTCGCATTTGCATTCCCGGGCGGCGTAATCAAAATCTCCGGGCGGAATTAGTACCCTCGCCCGGTGCTTCGCACCGGCTCGGGGACAATAATAAACTACAAAATACTTATTAGAATTACAATTTGGAGAATACTATAAAAAAGACTACAAACTCTAATTCCCTTTTTTAAGCAATGCACGTGTGATACTCGCGCGCGTGCTGCGCTTACTTTGTTTACTGAAGCCTAGTTTCCATAAGGTTGTTATCTGTCGCTACGTGTCTTTCGGAGTCTTTGGAGTAATCTTGAAAGACCGATAACGACAAAGAAAAACCGAAAACGACAGTTTCGTACATCGTCACTATACCAAAAACAAAAAGGAGGCCCTTAGCAAGGAGTTTCTTCTTCAACTAAATTTGTTTATGCTCATATAAGTTTTTTCTACTTAGTACAATATTCCATACTTATTTGTTATAAATTTTAGATTCTTCTGTATGTCACCGGACCGCTTTGACCAGAATTTTGTCGTTTCTTGTCGTTATACGTCTTTGAGATAGGGGTTTTTTCTATCCCAACGACACTGTCGTTTTCGGTTTTTCTGTATCGGTATATTGGTCTTTCAAGGTTACTCCAAACGACAGGTAGCGAAAGACAACGACTTCACTATCGAAACTAGGCTTTAAGGCGGATTTCCAGACGGTGCAAAATGTCGCTTGATCGACTTTTTGCGATCGCTTTTCTTTGAAATATAAACAACAAGATGCCTACTCAGGCGATCACGGATCACTCGGGCTACAGTTATCTCGTAGTGACATGGCATGTTCGTGACACCCGCGCGAGAAACGATCCTAGGACGATTTCGGTTGGTTCGAAGAATTCGTGCCGCCCACGCGTGATTTTTGTAAACTCGCGACGCAAAAGAAAAAACCGAGCCCATTTTATAACTCCGTCTACCTACGGCAACCTCGCTACCTACGGTAGCCCGAGTAATAAGGCGGAACTAATCCATTAGATGAGCTTGACTTAACACATTCGAAAGAGAGCGATGAAAGTCTGGGCTGAAAATTTGCATTTTATCTTTTGTCTCATAAAACGTCTCATCCAGTTGGGCAAAATATAATCGACCAAAAATATCGGGAAAAAAAATTTTTTGAAAAAAAAATTGTTTGTACAAGAGGCAAGTCGTCGTAAGTCTCAACAAGAACATTTGACAACATTTTACGCGTTTTAAACTGATTGCAGCCACTAGGACTTTACATTTAGTAAATCAGTTTACAGTTGTCACTCTTCAGAGCATCATGCACTTCAAAATTTAGCACCTTCAGGTATTAAATCATTGACACTAGCTTACATCTAGTTTAGTAAGTTTACAGCTGTCACTCTTCAGAGCATCACTTAAATATTTAGCACCCTCAGCTGTTAGACCATTGCGACTTACATTTAATTTAGTAAGTTTACATTTGTCACTTTTCAGAGCATCACTTAAATATTTAGCACCTTCGGCTGTTAAAGCGTTGTCACTTACATCTCATTTAGTAAGTTTACAGTTGTCACTCTTCAGAGCATCACTTAAATATTCAGAACCTTGAGCTGTTAGTCCATTGCCGCTTACATCTAGTTTATTATGTTTACAGCTACCTCTCTTCAGAGCATCACTTAAATATTTTGCACCTTGAGCTGTTAAATTATTGCCACTTACATGCAGTTTATTACCACTGCCTCTTACATTTAGCTAAATTAGCTTGGTAAGTTTACAGGTGCCACTCTTTAGAGCATCACTTAAATATTTTGCACATTGAGCTGTTAAACCACTGCCTCTTACATTTAGCTTGGTAAATTTACAGGTGCCACTCTTCAGAGCATCACATAAATCGTTAGCAGCTTCAGCTGTTTAACGATTGCCACTCAAATATAGTTTAGTAAGTTCACGGTCGTTACTCTCATGATTTTCGTTCTTCAAAAACTTAACCAATTCACGGATAGCAATGTTCGTCAGAGTACAACCATTGATCTTATAAGCTGTTTCAAGTTATTGATGTGGCGTAAAAATTATTATAGTTCTTTATTATAGTTCAATTAAGAACTCACTAATTCAGTTGCTCGTCTGAACTCTCTCTGAAGGCCTCCAAACGTCGGATATATACAAATATACCGCTACATCATTTTTGGCAGTTCCGCTTTTGTTCTTTCTTGGCAGAACCTTGGAAAATGAGCCTAGGTATCAGATTAGAACGGATATGCGGGTCATCTAGCAGAGTTTTGTGTAATCCGACCCAAAATCGTCACAAAATCTTTTTTACGACGTAAATGCACGAGCAATGGCTTGATTGACAGCTCGAGATGCCCGCTGACCATACCATTGTTGACCATTTAATCCATAAAAATACACGATTATGAGTTAAATAAATTTGTTCCTGACTCAGAAAAAGTTTATGAAACTATTGTGGTAGTAATGGAATAAACAATTATATATGACTCAGAGATTATATACAGTCACGAATTTATATAGAGATTTGAACACGGGCTAAATTAACTTTGGAGTTCCGAATTGCCACATATTCCTCGTTTCGTTTATTTCTTAAAAAAATTATAATGATTAGAACCACTTTATAACCAACCTTAAATTCTCTTTTGTTTACCACCTCATCTAGGAATTGTTTTTTCAATTCCACCTGAAATGCGAGGGAAAACAAAAAAATGTTTTTGAACTTTGGAGAAGATGTCTAGAGATAATAATGGATTTTTACGATTGTTGGAGTAATAATAACTGATTATTGACCGACGGATATGTGTTTTACGACCAACCAATCAGAGTAGAGGATCTTGAAAAGCCATATTATTAATAAATCAAACTTGAGTAACCAGAAATCCAAGCGTATTTCTATTATCGGATGAAAGATATTCAAAAGATACTCGTTTCCCAATTTACTTTTGCGAATATTAAAACAGCATTAGCTAGGTGGTTAATTGAAACCACCTTTGAATCAAAAGCCAGTGGATATGGTAGTCCAGTTATGACGACAGTA